ACATCTGAGATCATTGCAAGGTGGAAAGATTTGGCGCTCTACTGCTTTTAGAAACATTGCAAGAGCTAAATATAAAGAAATGCAGCTTGTTGTTGGGATCAGTCTGGATAAAAAGAGGTTTCATTCTTCTTTTTGCCATGTCCAGAACATAGAAATGCAGTTGGTGCAGCTAGATTAACTCTAGATGATCATAAAGCTTTTGATGCAATAGATTGGTAATACCTTTTTGCATCACTTAGAAATGTGGTTTCAGTAACAATTGAAATGAAATGAGTCAGAATATCATTTTGATGCTGGCATTACTGCAGATAATCTGTCAATCTATAACTAAATGCTATGCTAAATGCTAAGGGATAGAGAGTCAACCTTTCCCCACTCAGGAATTATGGCCTTCAGACTTGAAGGAGTGAAATTGGATCCCTGAGAAGTTGCATATTGTCTTACATTAAAATTGTTTTAAATATTATATTTTGTCTTATTTTGTGTGTAAGTGTTGTTATTGTGTTAAACTTTATGTGAAAGCAGTAGAAGGCGGGCGAGGCTTTAAATTACCTGGTCCTGCAGCCAAGAAAAAGCCTCTCATGTCCAGAAACTCATTATCATAGCCATGCCAGCCATTTTGCCATGCTGAGGCCTCCCCTGAGTCATTTTTCCAGTAGGGCAGCGTCGCCTTGTTCTACGGAGAGCACAGGTCACACATTGTCCAGGATGTGAGTTAAGTTATAGAGAACAGCCTGTTGTTCATAGATCATATACAGTTTTTATGTCTATATTGCAGAAAAAACAACAGTCTTGGTATAGCTCTCCCTCCTAAATTATTTTAGAAACTATAATGATGTGCAGTTATTCTGTTTAGTGAAATATTTTTTACCACCTGTTGTTTTCTGCACTTATGTAAGAAATGTTCATATTTACATTTTGTACGTTGTTTTACCAGTTAGATCAACTTTATGTTTTAACTCTTTATCCATTAAATTCTTTTCTGTTCTTAGTCCAGTAATCCATAAAGACCTGATGAGACAACACTTATTTCACACCTTAGTGATGAACCAGCCTGGTTCAGCAACCAGTGTGAGAGGGGAAACAAAGTTTCCTCTCTTGTAATGGAACCGTTCAGGGATTTCCTGCTTGGCATAAACATGCATGTTCTGGACGCGGCTCAAGGCAGCATAAACCTGGAAATAAACACATAAACAAACAGAAACATTTACAATCTCAAACAGCAACATTTGGAAAGAAACTCTGAAAGGTCAAACGTTGCTGAATGATTGGCAGTCCTTAGAAACACCTCACAGTGGAGACCTGGTAGTATAGCCACCTAATGGTATCTTTTATATCCACCCATTTATCATCTGACTTTATTTTTTAAGATGATGTACTGAGAAGTGACCACTGGGCACTAAAGCCATTCAGTGGGAAGATTGAATCCTTGAGGGCAGAATCAACCATCGCCTCCACCATCGACGGCCTTCTTGACATCAAATGCAGCCTGACTGACTTTGAGAGAAACTCCAGCAGACTCAGGTGGAGGCATCAACAACCACCTGGATCACAGACTACCTGACAGACAGACCACAGGCTGTTAGCCTGAAGGCTCATCTGGCTGATCCTGCTGCTCAGGAGTACCACAGGGGACGGTACTCTCTCCATTCCTTTTTCCTCTATCACCTCTGACTTCAAAGACCAGACAGAGTCCTGTCATCTGAAGAAACCCTGTGATGACTCTGCAGTCATTGGGAACATCAAAGATGGAGAAGAAGCTGAGGACAGAGAGCTGGTGAAGCGCTTTGTGTGGAAACAATCATCTGATCCTGAAAGTCAACAAAACAAGGAGATGATTGGAGATTTCAGAAGAAACAGGAACAAGTTGAATCCTGTTAACATCGCGGGAGAAGAAGTGGAGGAGTAGAAATCCCTTGGTGTTCACCTGGACAACAACCTGGAGACACGACTGGAGACATTATTGAGATATTTAGCATATGTTGCTCATTTGGGTCCAACTCAGGTTGGAAAGACCACCTACAGATCTTACAGACCTTTTTCCTACCAACAGCTTTTAACATCGAACTGTTAATTTCTCCTGAAGGATCAATCAAATGTTTCTGGATTTAATGTATTTTTTAGTCCACTTGTCCTAAATGCAGAGATGGCAAAAGTACTCACTTTCCGTACTTGAGTAAAAGTACAGATACTTGTATTAAAAAATACTCTGGTAAAAGTGGAAGTACTGATTAAACTTCTTTACTCAAGTAAAAGTAACAAAGTACAGGCTTGTAAATTTACTTAAAGTATAAAAGTAAAAGTAGAAACCACTTTTTTCATGCCGTTGCCTACATTTTAAATGGATGTCTGCCAATAGGACTAGATCTCCGTTGTGTTCATTTTCAATCATCTCGTCGTCCATGCTACTATGCTAACGCCACCGCCACCAAGCTGCAATGATTTGCCGCCAATGAATACCGCCGAATCTGTCGATTCATCTTGTAGTGGTGCAACGTAGATTCCCATCCAATTAGACTGAATTTGGTATTGATGACGTGAAAAATAATAACGGTAACTCCATTGAAATGATTCAAAACTAAAGTAACGAGCCAATTTTTTAAAATGTAAGGAGTAGAAAGTACAGATATTTGTGTAAAAATGTAAGGAGTAGAAGTAAAAAGTCGCCATAAAAATAAGTAGTAAAGTAAAGTAAAAATATCAGAAAAATCTACTTGAGTACAGTAACGAAGTATTTGTACTTCGTTACTTCCCATCTCTGCTTAAATGTTTAGGACCTTTTTTTTTCCAGAACCAGAGAGAAAGGCCAGCCTGAACAGATGGGACTGCTGCTCTGCTTCGACAGAGACCTGCTCCTCTAAACTCGTCTTCCTGCTCCCAGACGTCTTCAACATGTGTTATAGGTATAGAAATGTTTGATTTAAGGCTCTAGTTTAGCTTTGGATTGTGGAGTTCTGAAACTGAGGCATTCTTATAAGAAATAGGTTCAAATTGATTTAACATCCTCAGACGGAGGGAAACAGCTCTGACTTAGACATCCTCAGTACATACTTTTATACAGAATCCCTACACACTCTCTCTCTCCCATAGAACCAACCCACCCCCTGCACAAAATAACTTTCTCAAACTTGAACATTTGCAGGAAAAACACTTTTGATTCATCAAGGACATTCCTGTTAGGTTAATATCTTTCACTGGCAGATAAACATTGTGAACTCATTCTTATCTCTCATGACCTTCCCTTCACCCTTGTCACCTTAAACATAACAGCATAGAGACTGGTACAACATTTCTCTGAACTCACTCCAATTCAGGGAGGCAAACTCAAAACAATTTATCTCAAATAGGCCAAGGAAAAATATGGTTCCAGAGGATCTGCTTCATACAGGCGTGCGTCAGTGATTATGTGTAGAAGTACCTTTTGGTACGAGGTATTCTTGGGCCACAGGCTGACCACTGGTCCTCTGTCCATCATCTTCACTATGTCGGACATGTCTATATATTTATCCAGCTCTATCACCTTTTCCATCCACTGGATCTTCGTCATACCGTGGTCTGAAAATAGCAGCACATTCAGCTGGTTCACCATCTTGCTTTCCTGCAATAAGAGCAACAAACATTTAAAATATAACAAAACTATTCGTTTTGTTTACTGGATACTTGGACCTTCTCCCCCTGGAAGGAATTACCGAGTTCACACTGAGCAGGGGTAAACCTCCACATGATCCGTTCAAGTTCCCATCGGAAATCCAAGTGACAGTCTGCTCCATTACTCCTCCGGGTCCAACGCTTGTCTACCTGTCCGTCCTCCAACGTGTTCACTATTCTCTGGATTCCCCCACACAGACTGGATTCAAGGACTGACAAGGCCCCCTCAAACGTGAGTCCCATTCCAGCATTATTCTACCAACATCCAAGATTCCTACGGCCCCTGAACTGACCTCTGAACTTCCCTTCTCACTTCCAGTTCCGGTTCACCAGCTCACTGAGTACCAGAACCTTCACCTGTACTCCACTACAATAAACCTGTTAAACTTTTCCCGTGTTCTCTGAGTGGTTTCTCTCTATGTGGGTCAGATTCGTAAAACCGATCATGACAACATTATTGACCTCAAACTGTCAAAGCAGAAGAAGAAGATGCCAAAGGAAGGACAAATTTCTGTTCCTTCATGTAAACATGAGTGGCGTTACACTATCTCTCATTCCCAGACATGGCCAGCCCCCTCCTCTCTTTTTCCCCCTTTCTCTGCTAAAGTCCTGTCTGCACCGATGAGTTTAAAGCCGTCCACTGAAAACAGTGAGTCCAGGACAAATCCATCTAACCACATCTCAGTGAAGCACATGATAGTAGCATCTCTGTACGGAAGTGGTTAAAGCTGCAATCTCCTCAGTCTTGTGCAGAGATCTTACGTTTCCCATGAAAACTGATGGTAAATATCTTTTCCTCCGCTTCGTCCTCCCACCCATGCACCCTCTCCGTTTTCTCCTTATTTCTGTTGGAATGTTTGGTCTTGCAGCGTGATGTGGAGCTGGGCTGCTGTGCATAGCAGCCCATAGCCCCATTAGCTGCTCCCGTGTTTAAACAATAGGTTTAGAGTCACAGACAAAAGGGTCTCCCATTGCAACATAAAAAGAAAAAAGGTCCCAGAAGTTGGCTTCCTTTGTGCACAAACCTTCGGAATATCAGATACGGTATTCACTAATAGAAAAACATTTTAAAAAAACCCAATATAAAATAGAGAAAGTAGGAAAGGAGAACAGGGAGCCACCTAACAGGCTGCTGCATGCACAGTGGCATGCTCACTGAAAGAAAGAAGAATCATTCAGGCCTTTCTGGGAGCTAAAAGTTACTTTTCCATGTTTGGTTTTGGTTCTGCAGACTAGATCTGATCCAGTAGACCTGAGAGGTCTGACAGTCAGTCTGTAATGGAGCGAAGTCATTCATGCCTCTTTCCCACCAACAGAACCTTTGTTCTTCAACCAGTTTAGAGTCAGTGCTGCAGAACGTGGTTGCTTGGTTACAAGCTGACGCCAGTTTGGACCAGGAGTTGATCTGATTGTCTGATGAAATTCAGCTGTTTTCAATCTGCTGGTTGATCTACAACCAGAACCAGCTCTGCATTTGGTGGAAACAGGCAATCCGGTTCAGGAACCGGAATGGGCTCCAAGCCGCGTCGGTGGGAAAGCCCTAAAAGTGACCTACCAACCGAAGAGTTTTAAAAACTATTCTCTGAGTTACAGGGAGCCAGAGGAAGGACTTCAGCTCTACAGAGAGAAAAGATCAGCGCTGCAGTGACCCAGCAGTGACCAAGTAAAAAGAAATGGAAAATAGAAAAAGGAATAAAAAGGATAAAAATCATAAAAAGAATCCAGAGAATCAATGGAAATCTAAAGAATCAAAAAGGATTTAGTCTTCAATCAGCAATTCAATGTCCGCTTTTTTCTCAAAAGCTATTTATGAATATTATTGGTGCATTAATAGACATTTTCAGTAGGATTGTTATTACCTTAATTTTCTGGTTCAGTGTCTGCATGACGGCATCCAGGTCTCTCACCGCCGTTCTGACCTGAGGAGACTCTGGACCAAAGTGATGACCTTCCACATCGATTCTCTCATAGTAAATGGCGGCCATGTCTGCTTGGCCTGAACTAAAATAACAGGGAGAGATGGTTGGAAGGTCAGAGCAGGATATTAAGGGTTAAAAAGATTCTAGCACGTTGGCACCATGGAGATGAAAGGAGGATTTTATAAGCTGTAATTTTATGATCATGATCTATGAACTATAGTTTTAGAAAGTTACAGCTTCAAAAAGGAAAAAAGACTTTTGCTTTTCATTACATCTGATTTATAAACTACGATTAAATTCATCATAGATTCGTTTTGATTGAATTAATCTTTATCATTTGTAAAAGAAAGCTTAAAGTAGGAATGTTTTTAGACGTATACTTTTCAATAATTACAGATATTTTATTAAATTTCCCTTAAAGGTTATTGTGTTGTGTTGTCAGGATAAAATCAACCATCTTGACGCATCATCAGGTGAAACGGCGTAAGGCGGGTAGAATGGAGGGAAAGGCCGTCTACTCATAATGACTGGTTCACCTCCAAGGAACTTGATTTGATCAAATGGACCAAAATGGCTGAATTAGATGCTGATTGATAATACAGGGTGAGGTAAACCATGGCGTTCCTGCTGACATGTCAGGAAGTGGACAGGCCTTTGGCTGGGACGCTCTAAGGGTGGCGTCTGATGGACCTACGGTTACGCAACACCAATGCTTTCATCAGGTTCTGTTTTTTCCAAAACATGAAAGCAAACATATATTTATTAAATGCTGTGCTTAGTGCCAAAATACACTGATATTTATATTTCTAGTTAGACAGATATCTATTCATTATTAATAAAGTGAATGTATGAAAAAATGACTATATAAAGACATGACAGGAGGGGTTGTCTGTCATGGGGGAGGGCCTGGGCTACATTGCTGCTCTCCTCCCTGTGGTGGAGGGGGTCTGGGGGGTGGGGTGTGAGCAGGATGAGCGTTACTTGGCTCCTCCCTCTTCTTATGCGCCCGTCACTAACAGGTTCCTGTATGCTGGTGCGCTGACGGTTCTATAGGTGTGGGGTTGGGTACTTCAATTCCTTCTAGCTGGTGGGGCCTGGCCTAGACCTGCTGGCCCTGTTGGGGGGTGGTACGCCCCCAGACTTTGGACCCCTGGACCTCATCCAGGTCCTCCTTGGGATAGACAACCCCGTCCACCTTGGGTGTGACAGGATGCCGCTGGAGCCCATGAGCTCACTACCATGGCCCCATGGGACCCTGGCACTATAGCCTCCAGGGTCGGGGCCCTCAGGGACTGTGCCCCTTTGGGACCCGGGTGCTCTTGTCTGTTCTTCTCTAGTGGGTGCGGCCATCCCTACGTCTGTCCTCCTTGGGTCCCAGTGATCAGACTCCCTCTGGATATCCAGGGCCAGGATCACTTCTCTATGGGTCTTGGGTCCTGTAGGGCCAGTCTGGGGCCACCCACACCTGCTATTCAGTATATTTTCCTTCTGCAGAAGTTTTGTGAATTTATACAGCAGCATGCCCGTGCATACATGCCATAGGAGTTTGGTTGCAGGTGTTCATGGATTCATCCTGATCCTGAATGTTAAGCTGCAGCTACAGATCTATCCCACCCTGATTGATAGGGTGGAATCACCACACATGGATATCTGAGGGATACCTGCTGCTCTGGAAGCTGCTGCTCTATGTCCCTCTCGTCTCATCCAGGTGTGGAAGAAGACTTCTAGAAGTTACTAATTATTTTTACTTTCTCTTTTCATTCACTCTTTCCTGTCTCTATCTCTCCCTCTCTCTCCCCTTAGTTCCTCTCAGTTTTATAGGATTTTACTCCCTCAATCGTTTTCAATAAAGTTTCATATAAAAGTATCAAGCGGAGCCTTATGGCAGCGTTCATAATGGTCTGCTGCTGAAAGCTGTTGGACTATTAGCTATCTGCTAACTCTGCAACATCTATTCCCAGATTTATTGAATGTCTTTATTGGTCTCACTGTTGGGATCTGGAGGTCTGTCCACCTTTCTCCAGCAGAGGGCGCCCTAGGTCTCCTGGAGCTGAGCTGACGACCACACCTGCGGCTCATCAGTCATCAGGAGACCAGCATATANCCAGGATCACTTCTCTATGGGTCTTGGGTCCTGTAGGGCCAGTCTGGGGCCGCCCACACCTGCTATTCAGAATATTTTCCTTCTGCAGAAGTTTTGTGAATTTATACAGCAGCATGCCCGTGCATACATGCCATAGGAGTTTGGTTGCAGGTGTTCATGGATTCACCCTGATCCTAAATGCTCACCTGCAGCTACAGGTCTATCCCACCCTGATTGATAGGATGGAATCACCACAGGGTTTCCTTCCACACATGGATATCTGAGGGATACCTGCTGCTCTGGAAGCTGCTTTTCTATGTCCCTCTCGTCTCATCCAGGTGTGGAAGCAGACTTCTAGAAGTTACTATTTATCTTCTTTGTCTATTTATGCAGTTTTACTTTCTCTTTTCATTCACTCTTTCCTGTCTCTATCTCTCCCTCTCTCTCCCCTTAGTTCCTCTCAGTTTTATAGGATTTCACTCCGTCAATCATTTTCAATAGAGTTTCATATAAAAGTATCAAGCTGAGCCTTACGGCAGCGTTCATAATGGTCTGCTGCTGAAAGCAAAGCTGTTGGGCTATTAGCTATCTGCTAACTCTGGGACATCTATTCCCAGACTGAGTGATTGTCTTTATTGGTCTCACAGTGGAGAAATTGACTCGTTCCATCAGCTTAATTAGTCAAAGGAGAAGAAGAAGAAGGTGCCAAAGGAAGAAAAAGGTGCATGATGGGATATATACAGTATATACAGTGTGTCCACATAGGACAGCTTTTGTTTTATAGTAGGATTATTACACAGGTTTATTGCACAGGGTGTTTACATTGATATTTATATAGATATTTATATATATAGTTATATTATATAGTTATTTCACAGGGTATCAAATAGTACATCTATATTGGCTAAACAGGATACAAGAAAAAAAGAAAAAAACTTATAGACAACAATGTATATAAATCTGTAAAGTGTTCCTTTGGCTAAAAGAAGGTATTTGGTAACTGTATTGTATAAATATATGTAATGTATTTAAGTAATGTTTAGTGGCACGGCTCCTGCTCAGTGTTAATAAGGTAATTAGAGTGGAGCCACACAGTTCTTCTTCTAATCTTCTTTTATTTTATTCTTTATGGAATTTTAATACCTGTGTTGTTTTTATTTCTGAAGTTGAACCTAACGGAGAGGATCAAGTTTGTTTGTTTTTCTCGCCATCAAATGGATTAAAGGGGTTAGAAAAGTGCGTCAAGCTTCATTACGTCGGAATCGACAACTGTCAACAGCTTCCAGATTAAACGCTAAACGCTGCTGGAAGGACGATGATAGCGTTAGGCACCATTTTGGCCTGAATCCTAACAAGACGGAGGGAGATTTTCACCCACATTTAACCTCTCCATCAACCACTGGATGCATCATCTGACTCTGGAAAAGATCAGCTTTATGCTGAGCAGGGAAAACAGGCATTTTGAAAATTTGGTTCTTCAGAATATTAAAGAAGTGAACTTTAAGTAACCATTGAATAATCATAAAGACTGTAAAATATAAGGTACATACCGTCACACTGTAATTAAGATTTAACTAAGATTTATTTTTTCATAGATTGTGTGCTCAGTGTTAATGAAACTGGTGCAGTAGGAGACAGGATGATCTGTTTGTTATAAGTGGAAAACCAAATGAAAAGATAATGAAAAATAAATGATATTTAGAGGTTTGAAAATCATCCAGAATAAATAAATAAGTATTCAGATCAAAAGATATCAAGCAAATCTTTTTCTAGTTATTCCAGATCCCATTTCCTGACCTGTTTTGATTTACGGACCATCATTTCTAAGATACGTTAAATAAACGTGTCTCTTACCTGAGCACAGCCAGCGCCTTGCTGATGGACTGCGTAATATTCATTTCTGATGGATTATAAACATATTCCTCACAGAATGATGGACGAACATTCAGAATCTCCACTTCACAGCCTGAAAACAATGAGAGGACAGAACTGATGCACCTAAAATACAAGGAATCCTAAAGGTTGGTTAAATGTTGTAACTGGTATCACGCTGAAGGCTGTTGGCAGGAAGGATCTCCTGTAACACAGAGAAGCTGTTGGAGAACCGACTGACGAAGCTCAGCTACCAAAATGATTGGGGGGAAAAAAGCAGAATTTAGGGAATGAGTCATTAATTTATCATAATTCAAATTAGATTTCAATTTCTGCTGTTTTCGTAACTAAAACATAAACTTATATTTTTATCTGAACACTATGAGCCTGATCTTCATCCTGTGGGGTCAGGGGGGCCGCAGGGACTCCCAGACTCCCCTCTATCCAGACTCCTCCTCCAGCTCCTCCCAAGCCAGCAGAGACATAGACCCTCCATGGTGTCCTGGTCCTCCTCCTCCTGGTGGGACGTCCCTGGAACCGCTCAGAGGGAGGCGTCCATCAAATAAAGATGTCTGATCCTCCTCAGCTGAATCCTCTGGAGGAGAAGAAGCTCTACTCAGATGACCCAGCTCCTCTCTCTGAGGGACCGCCCAGCCTCCCTGCAGAAGAAGCTTGGATCCGGGATCTGGTTCTTTGGGTCATGATCCAGATTAATGACCGTAGGTGAGGGGAGGAACGTAGACCGTAGGTGAGGGGAGGAACATAGACTGTAGATGTTAGCTCTCTGAACAACAGCAGATGGAGCTCCTCCTGAAGGGGACAGACCACCTTTTTCCTGAGGAGAACCAGAACCAGAACCATGGCCTCGGACTTGTAGGAGTTGATTCTCATCCCGGCCTCTTCACACTTGGCTGAACAGCCTCAGTTCCAACTGTAGGTCTCTGCAAGAGGGAGCAGAACCTCGTCATCCACAAAAACCAGGGATGAGACCCGCTGGTCCAGAAGCAGACCTCCTCTGGTTCTACAGATCCAGTCCATGAAGGTTCTGAGTAGACTGGTAGCAGAGGGCAGCCCTGCTGGAGTCCAACCAGCAACCCAGACCAGACACCTGCTCCTTTATACAGAGACCGGATGGCCCCTAATAAAGGGCCCTTGACTCCGTACTCCTGAAGCTCCCCCTACAGGGCACCATGATGGACAAGGCTGGATGCCTACTCCAGGTCCACAGGTAACATGTTGGACTGGTTGAGCAAACTTCCATGAACCCTGAATCTCTGTGCAGAGAGTGGCGCTCCTCCTGAAGCTGAGGTTCAACAGTTCCTGATCTCCACCTGATGTTAAAGAGGCGTGTCAGCCATGACAGCATCCAGAGCATTAAGGTACTCAGGGAGGATCTCATCCACCCCTGAAGCCTTTGTGGAGTTTTTTGACCTGGGTGATGAATGAATCCAGCCCAGAGCCCCCGTTTCCTCTTCCACAATGGAAGGTGTTTTGTTAGCCCTGGCTGCCAGCCCCCCCACACAACATTACTGACCCACTGCCAAACCGGTCCTGCTGAAGGATGTTGCAGGCAGCAGCTCTCCATGGTGTCTCCAGACTCTGTCACATCTGTCACTGTGCATTGGACACCAGCTGTGAATTAGCCAATCCTGGTGCTCTCTGGTAAATACCCAGCATCCTGCACAGTGTTGCTCTGTGAGCACAACCCCCATCTGTGGATGTCAGGCCCTCATACCATCCTCATGGAGCCAGTTTCTAACAGTTTGTGCAGACACATGCACATTGGTGGCCTGGTGGAGGTCATTTTGCAGGGCTCTGGCAGTGCTCCTCCTGTTCCTCCTTCACAAAGGCAGAAGTAGCGGTCCTGCTGCTGGTTTGCTGTCCTCTTATGGCCTCTTCCACGTCTCCTGGTGTCCTGGCCTGTTTCCTGGTAGTGTTTCCAGTCTCTGGACACTAAGCTGACAGACACAGCAAATCACAGCTGGCATTGAGGTGCCATCCTCAATGAGCTGCACTACCTGAGCCACCTGTGTGGGTCGTAGAGTCCGTCTCATACTACCACGAGTGTGAAAGCACCACCAACATTTAAAGGGACCAAAACATCAGCCAGAAAGCAGAGGGAGTGAGAAGGTCTGTGGTTCCACCTGCAGATCCACTCCTTTACTGAGTGGGTCATGCTAACTGGAAATAATTTCCACCTGTTGTCTTTTCGATTTGCACTAAAGCACGTTATCATGTTTGGCTATCATGTATGGATATCATGTTTGGCTCTGAATTCATCTGTTAATATCTGGATGTTTGTGTCTGGGAGAGATGGAGAGTGAAGGGATGACAGGCGTGGTCTGGAGGTGTACGGTACAGGTGTGGGTGGGAAGTAAAAGGCAGAACTTTGTCCTGTTGGTGATGTTGGTTGATGGTGAACTCTCCTCTTACACCATGGAAGGTGTTTTGTTAGCCATCTATCACTAGTTTTTATTCTCTGTTTTCAGATTAAATGAATTTTCTTTTATATTATTTTATTATTTATTTATTATTTTTACTTCTATAACGGTCCAACCGCAGTATATTCAGCTCTGGGATTTATTTCTCTGCTTGGCTTTTAACAGGTCCTTTAATTTTGCTGCTAAACTCTCAGCTAGCAGTACCTCCATCAATGAACCAGCAAACTTCTTTGTTGTTGATTCCTTTTTCTGAATAAACACCTTCTGACAAGCGTGGAAAGTTGTAGGCTTATATAGCATTATCTGGGCTGTAATAATGCAGGTTTAACTCACGCACAGGTGGACTGCAGCAGGTTTACATTTAGGATCATTTACTGAAGTTCAAACCATTTGTAGGATCTAATGAGGCGCTCCAGTAGGGGGAAATTTCAGTTTTGGTGCAGCCCATCCAAAAAAAGACAAAACACACAGACAGCATACAGACATGGGGAAAAAGGGGTGTCTGAGGCCTTGCCACCATAAAAGGTGCTGCCCTTATAGTAGGAAAACACAAAAGAAACAATACGTCAGAGGAAGGAAAAATTAATCACATTTCATATTGCATCTTTCGCAGGATAAGCCAACACTGATCGTTCCCAGGGTCAGTGTCCCTGAGCAATGTTACAGTTCATCAGCCGAACAACAAGGCAGAGGAGGGAGGGGGGCAGAGGTGAGTAGATAAAGGCCTCTCAAGGTCAATGTGGAGCTGAATTTCAGATAGAGACATATTGATTTAGTCAGGCTGACTGTTCCTTTTTCCTACCAGCCTTCAGAGTTTTTCCTGGAGTCTCACCAAGGAGAGACCCAAGAAAACGGATTTTATGGTCCACTGCGCCATGAACCGAGCTTACAGCTTCTCCAAGATTTTACCATTTCACCTCTGAGTCCAGGAACCATAACCAGCCTGTGACCCTCTCCAAGGATCGCATCCAGTTTATGGTTCTGCTCCCTTAACATCTCAGTCTGAGCCTCTATTGCTCTGCAGATCCCCTCATACATGTCAGGCAGCCTGACAACAACCTAAACAGCCCCACCATCTTCTGAATTTCAGGATCTGCCGGGTATTAACCAACTCCAAATAGTAGAAATCCTGTTATCAAAGATCCAATTATGTCTGCATCTTCTACGTCCTCCGCAAACATCATCGTCAGGAACACAGTCTTCCACTTCTGCCAGGAATCCATCGCATATCCGGAGAAAAATGTACCGTCTGGACAGGAGGGTTCCCCCTTACCCTGTTCTCCTGTAGAGAGAATCTCATTGACTGCATGAAGAGACCAGCTGACCGGATTCATGGTTCAGTTTGTAGGTTTGTAGAAACATATGTGAAGAGAGGCTAATATAACTATGCAGGACCGACAGGGAGGGAGACAGAGAGGAAGCGTCCTCCACCGACAGACAAGATGGGTTGAAATGAACAGAAGATAAATCTAAGACACCAATATCAGAATAATGCTGCCTAATGTTGTTGTTGGAGTGGAGCAGATCTTCCGTATGTGTAATGATGGTCATAGTATGCATGTAAAGCTTTATCATTAGGTGGTGATGTAGGAAAAACTGAACCAAGGATCCTTTCTGCTCACAGCCATCAAAGCTAAAACCAGTCCATGAAGAAACCATCCAATATTTCTCTTCCTTTTGGGATTAATTAACTAATCTGAAATTTACTTCAAGTCACAGACAATCTTTCAGGTAAAGGTAGAAAAATATGATGATGAAAAGAGTTTCATCTCACCAGGCCAGAAATACATGAAAACCTTCTTCCCCAGTTTCTGCATGGTGACCCAGAGAGGTTCTGATCCATTCCACCACAGAGACAAGCGACTGTCAGGGTTGGTCCCAATAAGGAACTCCTTGTTGGAGGTTACATCCCACATGTAATTTCCAATCATCTGATGGGTTTCACAGTGACGGCCTAAAAAGAAAAAGAAGCATAGATACAAAAGGCAG